TGGTGCCAAAGGGATATTTTTCCTCATCTGGGGAATCTAGAGGGGTGGTGCTTCACACCCCCCAATTTCCCGCGGCAAGCGGGGCGGGTGGGGGAATTCTGGGAGTTGAAGTCTGTGCCTCTTAAAGTTCCCAAGATTGAGAAAAACTGCCATAGAATCTCTGGCTATTCCAAGTAAAAATCTTGTTTTAGTTTGGACTTTGCACTGGCAAGAGAAGCTATACTTTCTCCCTCTTCTGTATTTGGTTATACACTGAGCCCATCATGCCTTAGGGCACAGATGGGGGTGGAGCATGGTTAGTGGGTAATTTGCTTGTTGCAAGCACCAAAGAGAGGTTCAGCTTAGTCCGGTGGGCTTCTCTATCCATGTTTTTTTGTGCTGCCTCTTGGAGTGTTCTATTGATGGGTCAAGACCATCTTTTTTGGGAAGACCAGCACTTTTTTAGACTTCACCAGCACTGCAAATTTTAGAAGATGTTATCACTCACTTTTGCCTGCTTTATGACTTTAATTAGATGTTGTTGAAATCCTTTTGAATGGTGCTGTTAGCTTTGCCTCTTTATCTTTTCATTTTGCCTTTTAAACATTTTGAATTTTGCACTGAACTTAAAGGCTTAAGCTGTACTGGCAGAAGATCAGACAGATCCATGGAGATTAGCCTAGCAATGGCTACTAATCGTAATGGCTAGATATAACTTCAGTTTCAGCTTTGAGTTCTCCAAATTCTGGTTGTGAGAAATGGAAGTTGGTAGTACTAGGGCATCCATGTACTGCTTGGGGACTTCTGCATATGCATCAAAAGTGGCACAGAATTTCTTATATTATAAATACATACATTGGAATTGGTAGGAAGCCCTTCACCTCACACAGCAAAATGTTGTAGGGTGACTTTGCTCGGTGACCACAGTCTAGTATATATTATGCCCAGAACAAAACATGTGTGTTTATAATTTGCATGCATTCATATGGGCATTGGGCACTACAAATATAACACTACTAGAAGAATGTTTCCTTTCCATCTCACCCAATACATGGATTGGTATAACAGTTGCCCATCATTCAGGGTTGGATCTCACATGCTTATATATTGCTGCATTAATTTCCTTCCCCTCGGAAAGTTTAAGGAAGCCCTATCATATAAATGGGTAATCCAGTGCTGTGGGAAACTCTCTATTTAAGGTCATATGAAGAACTGGTAAACTTGTGTCTCTGTGGCAGTCCATTCACACATGCA